TGTAAAACAATAAAATAATTTTTCTTTTACTTTTCCAAGAGGGTAGTGTATTAGGGGGGAGGGCTGAGAGGGGGGAAAATGCAACAATGTATGAATGGAAATCCAAAATCTCTGTAAGTTTTTATTGAAATGAATATTAAAAAAAAAGAAAAGGAACTCATGCCATATTATTCAAAATGGGTGACCTTGGAGGTCATTATGCGGAGTGAAAATATCTCAGTCACAAAAGGACAAATATGGCACAGTGCCACAGTTGTAAAATGGGGAGACTGAGAAAGATGGGATTAATTATGTATACTGCATTGTAACAAATGAGGGAGAGAACTGTTTAAAAGCAACATATGATTAGGTATTCTTGTCATGACAGGAGTCTGGAATGAAGGCTGCATAATGGAGTGGACTTGGTGGGAGGGATTGTATAACAATGAAAGAATTTTTCTTTTACATTTCACAGAGAAGAGCCAACTGGGGAGGATGGGCAGGGAGAAAAGTGCAACAATGAATGGATGAAAATACAAAGTCTCTGTAAACTTTCATTAAACTTTTTTTTTTTTAAAAAAAAGGTAGATTTATTTTTTCACAGATATTTGTATACCTGGTGATCTCACTGATCTCCTTGATGTCCTTTCAGGGCGAACTGATCGATAGAAATCAGGGCTCACTGGATTTCTCAATCGATGTGATGGATTAGGGGATCTGGATCTGTATCTAGAAACAAAACGATGGCACAACCTTGGACTTCGACTTCTGGGTCTATATATGTAACGCACAGGGCTTCGAGACCTCCGTAACCTATGACTTGAACTTGACCTCCTAGAACGCCTAGGACTGGGGGAATGAGAACGTCGTCTTGGAGTTCGATCCTCTTTTTTATCGCCTTCATTTCTATAAAGTAGGAAAACAAAAAGATTCAGTAAATATAATGTACATTTACTGTATCAAATGACAGAAAGGTTATTATCAACATCAAACTCTAATACTTTGCAATTACATTTAAAAGAACAGAAAGTAGTTTTTCATTCCAAATTTAGCCTTTTGAGTAAACAAGCAACAAGCAAGAACAGATGATCAACCCTCCAATGAATCTTTAAAAAAAAAATCACAAGTATTATAAATTTCTTGGGCTTCTTCTGTAAGACATCTAATTATTTTTAGAAAGGATAATGGCATAATTTAGGATATTATTTTAATAAATAAGTTTGCCATAGTACAACAATGAATGAATGGAAATCCAAAATCTCTGTAAATGTTCATTAAAATAAAATTAAAAAAACAAGTTTGCCAACAATTACTACGCTAAAATATTAGAAGAGTTGTATTTATACATATACACTGAGCACAGTGCTCTAGGGGCCCAGATACATAGTATAGCTGATGACAAAGAAAAAATAATGAGTTTTTGCTGACAAAAGGCTATTCTACACACAGCTTCTACATTCTAGGAGCTTAATAAAGCTACTCTTAGCTTCTGAGCCACTTATAATCTCAGATCTCACAAATATAAAAATTGTACCAAAAAATTAGCAGAAAAGATTTTCAAGAAAAAGTACAGAAAGTAAACATTCAAACAGAAGAACTAGCATTTCTTTTATGTATTTAATTTTAAAAGAAAATTATCACTATAGGTCTTCCTCAATTTCATTACTTTTAGAGAATGATCAGTCTAAGATGTCTCTTTTAAAAAAAAAGTCTTTTTTTAAAAACAACCTGAAAACAAACTCCAAACAAAAACAAACCCAACACTAGAAAATCATATTACCTTCTTGATGGAAGGATTTCAGGATTCCAATCAGGATACCTAGTTTGAGAACAAATAAAATTTAAGAAATACTAACAGTAAGACTATAAAAGGAGCAATCAATTTTTCCATGCAATGTAACAAAAGGACTGTTTAAAATACCTCAGAATGCAGTCATTTTCTTTTGGTATTTACTGAACTCAAGAAATAACAAAAGTATTATACTAGCAGACTTCAAAAGAAAGGAGAAATGCAATCATATTTAAAGGCCTGTTAATTAACAACTGATAAATGTAGATCAAAAGTGTATGAATGCTTACTAGCCCTTCAATATTTTAAAAATAAGCTGAGGGCAAAAAAGGGAGGAGTGATACAGGAAAGAGAAAGGATCTCAAAGTTAGAAAAGTAGGTTGTGCTGCTTCTTTACTGTACAACTATAGTTAAGTTGCTTCTACGTGCTTAGTTACCTCACTGAAGAAATAAGTAATAGTTATACCTAGATCTCATGAGATTGAAGATGGAATTATATTAATATAGAATCAGGTCTAGCACTTTATTGTCCTTAATATTCTAAGTTGTAGATCATAATTCACTATCCTTGTACCATAATCTACAAAGATCAAGTCATATTTATAACGAAAAGAAAAAGTGATAAGCCTTATATAAAGGAGTAAAAATATAAATATACGTAATTAGAGATTATTCAACAAAACACTATGTGAAGCACTTTGTCACAGAAAGATCTTAAGCACCTAATCAAACTGGCTTTAATTTCTTAAATTTTTCTACAGATGAGAAAAACAATGGAGAACACAGAATCTGTATCACATAAAATATAATGGCAGGCATGGAATATACATATGCTTTTAAAAAATATGGTCCAATGTCTATGACAAAAATAGACATAAACACACATGCACACACGGAAGCCTTTAGTAAGTATATTATGCTACTGCCTTAACACAATGGCAATGCATGCAGTTGGAATACTCTTATTGTTGTGTGAATCAGGTCAGAAGTGACTCAAAGCTGACCCTCCCGTGGGTTTTCAGAGGCAGTAAATCAAATGGGAGATTTATCCATCCTTCTCCTACGGGGCAGCTGGTGGAGGTGAACCATGTAACTTTTGGAATGCAGCACAATTTCTTACCAGTAGGACACCAGAGGTCTCTAGAATATTCTTAAGTGGTACAAAAAGAGTCAGTTTTCAACTCATAGAAACAATACAATCTACACAGTTTAAAACTGCTTCAAAGGTTTTCTATAGTCTAAAAATTGATTACAGTAGACTATCAGGCCTTTTAGCCTGCAGATATGGAGGATGCGTTTAAGCAATTAACCACTTATTTAACCATCACAGAAAGACCTCCTCCAAGTATGCAAAATAGCTCAATCCCACTTAAACCACCCTGTTCAGCTTCATTAAAAATCAAGCCTACATTAGGTGCCAGCAGAAGATTTATAGCTTAGTAAGCATTCTCTGTTCATGTCAGGTAACAAAATATAATCCAACTTAGAAACCTACATTTGTTTGCATAGCTTCCAACCTGGAAACCAACATCAATCTCTCTCCTTAGCCTGTATGATTTTGGTTAGGTGTTTTCACAGGACATGAGACACAAACTGAGACATAGTATCATACTCTGTTAACCATTTTAACTGGTTTAGAGAAAAGACAAGCCACAAGAGACAAAAAAAGAGTCATGAAAAGTTAAAGGACTTTTGCAGGATCTGAGGGAAAAGGGGAATTGAAAAATTTTTATTCCTCAAAGTGCCAATCATACTGACTCAGAACTACACAGGCCATTTTTGTCATACACATAAAATCTGCCCAATATTTCAGAAAACAAATGTGCAGGGGGCTCTGGTGGCCAAATGGCAAGCAGCTACACTGCAATTCCCAAGACACACAGTTCGAATCCACCTACTATTCTACTGGAGAAAAATGCACAATCTCCTCCTGGGTGATAAACTGTCTCTGAAAACCCTACGAAGGGTCAGCTCCGGTCAGCTTTGACTCAATATTAAACCACATCGGTACAAATGAAAAGAAGTACTGGGAGCTCTGGTGCCCTAATGATAAGGAGCTGCAATGCAAACCCACAGTTCAAATCCACTAACTGCTCTGTCAAGAAAAAAGGGCAATCTCTTCCTGAGGGTTTGAACTTACTCTGAAAACAAATATAAGTCAGTTCCAACAACGTACTACAATAAAAAAAATGGAGATAGTTCTCACACTCTGATTTTGAGTAACAAATTCAGCTGTCATGAAACTAGAGCAAGCTTAAAGTCCTTGTTATTATGTGCCGTCAAGTCACCTGAAATACACAGTGACCCTACCACCAATATCTTTGAAACCTGCCCTGTCCTGAGCCAGTCTGACTCCGATACACCTAACCCCCACCCTAGTTACTCTATAAATCTATCTCATCTGGGTTCTTCCCTTCCTTTGCTATATCCCTCCACCTTTCCGAGCACTGATGTCCTTTCCAAGGATCTATCCCTTCTGGCCACATGCCCCAAGTATGTGAGACAGAGCTTCAAAATCCTACTCTCCAAGGAGAAACTGGTCTCACCCTCTCTAAGACATACATTATTAGTTCTCTTGGCAGTCCATGGCATGTTCAAGACTATTTTCCAGCACCACAACTCAACGGCATTAATTCTTCTGTCATCCTTAGTCACTGTCCAACTCTCTCATGCATAGCAAGTACTTGTGAAGACCAATGACTTAACCATTCCAAATATATAGGCTAATAAAGCCATCTTTCCATTTTAAAACCTGTTTTGAATTGGAATTGTAACCAGCGATTGTAAATTCTGGGTAAATCTCTCAACATTTTCGTGAAATTCACACAAGCAGGAGGAAAAGCTGGGAATGCTACCACCAATCCATTTGCCCAGGAGCATATTGTCATCCTAGTAGTTTTTTGTTAATTCTTTATCCTTAGAAAAATATTAAGCATGCTTCTATGAAATTATTATTTTAAATAGGAATGATGATTTTTTTTCTAAAAATCTTTTTCTGTCAAGTATCATAGTAAAGTGCTTACTGATCCCACCTGAACATGAACTATTCGGCCAATGTGCTAACTATACATAACTAAGGGAGAAGAATGCTCTTACTGTTGGCGTAACTGTCGGCAGCTCTCAATGTGAGTTGAAGTATTCTGATGCTGAATCCAATCCTATTGTAAAAAGAGAAAAATCTTAAAGTTAGAATAGTCCTCACGGTGACCAGTAATTAGGTTTTTCTGAATAACTGAATAATGGTTTAGAGGTGCTTCCCTCAAAAATTATACAAACCTAGTTATTATAAACAGCACTTAACTCAATAAAATTTTCATAAAATTTAAAAGGCCTCAAATTAATGTATTTGATACATACTTTATTCTGCTTTAAAGCATCTTAAAAATCAAGATATAAGAATATTAAATTTGAAATGAAACAGGCATTTAAACTTGGGAGAAAAGACACATATGGATCAGAAAAGTTCTCTAATCTGGCTGACAAAGCTGTCCTGACTAAAGTACTGAGTCCTGAGCTGTTTTTGATCCTGAAATGTAACCTGTTACTTCCTTAACAATGAAAATAAAAAAGAAAAATACACACCAAAACATGCTAACCAAAACCAAACTCATCTCAAACATTACAGATTAATACCAAAAATTCTACAGGTAAGATGGCACCTGTGAAACAGGATCTTTAAGCGTCTCAAATCTAGATTTTATCTTTAAAGTCAAGCTATTATCATCAGCAAGAACAACAACAATCCTAACTCTTAAGGTAGTAATATTCCAATACTATATTGGAAATATAAGGTTATTACAAAGTGAAAAAAAAAATCTGTTGATCAACTCTATTTTTAATATATAGAGAAATGTCATTTAAAAAAACCTAATAGCTTTTATACACAAAGATTTACAGTTAACAAAGCTTTTTTTAACACAGATTTACTCCATTAACATATCTGCCTTAAAATGACAATGTGTACCCAAGGGTAGCTCCTGAAAGATACATCTTTGTAAGGGCAGGACAAGGGGCAGTTAGTACAAACAAAGCCCGAGTAATAAAGGCCTGGTTTAAGTAGGCCTGCAGTTAAAGCCCACCACTGCAAAGCCTATTTGTATTAAAAATTTGGAGGTGCATAATGGTTCGCATAACAAATGGACACTACTATGTGATGCATGACAAAGCATTATTACTGCATTAAATATGTTTTAAAAATATCTAGAAATGTCTCTTAGTATTTTTATGCATAGAAACGTGCACTATATACTAAGACAAGCAATTAACATACAGTGGAAACAAAGGGTACCTGACTGTTCTGATTTAGATAAAAATTTGACTTGAAGACAATTTGGGAATAGAACTCACTCATAATCTGCAGACTGCCTGTGAAATTTTCAAACATACTATCTAAAATGCAGCAATTAATTGAAAACAATGCATATTACTCAATATATTTTGTTCTTCCAGCATTTCAATATGCAGAAAGGGTACTACATAGTGTGTATTTTAAAACTTGAGAAAAATATTATTCATTTCCATTACAAAGTTTTTCTTTTGCCTTATTTCTCCACATATAATATTCCCACAAAAAAGAATCTACTTCTGAGGGGATTTTGTGCAGTTTGAAAAAAACCATGTAATGTACATGCTATCTGTGTAAAAACATGGTACCTCACTATTGGAGATGAACTAGCAGTTTCGAGTTTAAACTACAGCTGACACTAATTTTAGATCCTACCTTAGCAAGAACGATTGAAAAGTAAGTACATGCTACCCGCAGTATCAGCAAGTTATACTCAGTTATGTACAAATCCAGAGCTATTTCATTAAGCCAGGAATCTAACTGGGAGCTGCCAAAGAAATCCCTGCATCTCCAGGCTCAGTGACAGCAAGAGAAAGAAGGGACTGTCAGGGAGTATTTCCTAGGAATGTAAACTGCCCCCATTTTTGTTATTAATTGGATACTCTTTCCATCAAAAGGCAGGTAACTGGCTGGGCCAGATTTATTTGGATCATAAAAATGTATTTGAATAAACTGCTAATACTGAGAACAGAAACTTTATCATCAAATCCAGATTTTGATCTTTTCTTTGGGGAGCACTGAAGATGTGATACTGGACATGTATTCTATAGTATCTAACAGTTCCAGTTCACAGCTGCCTTGTTAATTTCATGTACTTGCCTTTCCAGTTTAAAATACACATTTACAGACCCACTCTCTTATGTCTTAAAAGGCCCACTTCATTCAGCAACAATGTTTCAACTCTCAAGTTTTAGACTCTCTCTAGTATCATTATCTAATATCTATTAAAGATCCAAAATCAACACTAACTATTCAGAGAAAAAGTGCTAGGAGAAGCTATAGATTTGAAGGTCCCAGAATGAACTATGAAAACACCTACCACCTACTGTAGAGCTCCAATTACTAGACTCTTTTCCACCCATTATTATTTCTATCAGTGAGAAAGATACAGGTTCTAAGCCAGGAACAGGTTTTAAGTTCATTTATTTCCTCTTTCTTTCCAGGTATAACCCAAGACGAGAGAGATTTCATTTTCTATTGTCACTTCTCCAAGTATATCTTCAGGATATAGTTTTTAAAAGACTAAGAGTTGCAGAAATATATTTGTAAATGTTACTTTGAAGGAAAATAATTTATATAAATTTGTATTTACTGACTACACAGTTACACCATACACACACACACACAACCTTACAAGGCAGCAAAAAAGTATCACAGAGAATGAGAAGTCAAAGTTCTAGTTGATCAATCTCTATTTGACTCAAACTTTACTTGACTCATGAATAATGCATTACTCATTTCACTCACTTGGCTTTCTCTCTGGGCTTTAAAAAAGCCAGATGGTGCAGTGGTTAAGAACTCAGGAACTAGCCCAAAAGCTGGCTAGTTCAAAACAACCCAGTAGCTCTGCAGGAGGCAGACAGGCCATCTGCTCTCACGATGAGTACATCAAAACCAAACAAAAAACCATTTTAGAGGGTACTCCCACCACAGTGTTGTTCTGAGTAGGGATCAATTTTACCTATCTGACAAGAATCGTCAATTATTAAATAATTTTCTCTCACATTTTTAATTACCATGTTAATGCCAACTTCACCTCCTACTTGAATAACCACCTCAGCCTTTTCCATTCACCATGCATACCAGATGAATCTCTCTCCTTATACTTTTCAACATGTCAGTTCATAAACCAAGAAACTTCACTTCCTACTACTACCTCTCACCTCAAGTCTAACTTCACACTTTTTTCTAATGTGTTTACCACTCTACTCAAATCACCTAGCCCTATAACTTTCAACCTCTTTAAGACTGCTTTATGGTTAGATTTCATATAGTTCTTTATTTCTGTCCAAAACCAAAATTCACTATCACTGAGTCAATTTTGACTCAAAATGACCCTACAGGACAGAACAAAATTGCTCCAAAGGGTTTCCGAGGCTCTAAGTTGTTCAAGGAAGCGCATAGCCACATCGTCCTCCCATCATGTAGCTGACTGAGTTCAGTAAACCAACTTTTTTGCTTAGTGGCCAAGTGTTTGTTTTAACTTTGACCATAGTAGGGCTGCTGGCATCTAACAGTCCTGCATAAAATTAATCCTTTCTAAATTAATATCTTACTTTATAAACTGTCATGTTCTTTATGCTGAGATTCACCAGAAATAACTGAAAGGTGAAAGAAAATAAAATGGACAGTGTGGTATGCTGTCAAAAAATGCAAAGATCCTAATACTCTATTCAGACCATAGCAATTTACAGGCTACAATTATGTGCTCTCAAGTATTCTAAAATTTTTCTAAGGAAAGACTTTGCTATCCTTTTTAATAGTATGGTAACTTATTTTCCTCAAACTCACTGCTGACCAGTTCATTTTGACCCACTGCCGCCCTCCTTTAGGTTTTTGAAGCCAGGGCTCACAATGAGAGGTGCTTTTTGGATCTATTCCCCTCCCACCCCCCCACTGGAGATGGACAATCTTTGGATTAGCAGTGCAATTTGCTACAGATTATGTCACCAGTTGAAGAGCTCTAAAAAAATCTAACCAGAATGAGAATTACTTCTGTGAGCATTAATGAGCAGCAGCAAGGGTGTTTTCCTTGGCTACAGTTAACCTTAAGGTATCCTACTGGCAAAATTCTTATTAGCTGGGTATATAAAGACAGCAATAGAAGGGTGAGGACCAGTTAAGCAGCATTATATTCTGTAGATATGTTTACCTAAGTACATAACCAAAGGTTCAATGGTCTTGAACTAAAGCCCATTCTTTGGGGAGAACATTCCTTCTTGGTATTTGTGATCTAATGTCAAGAAGCCCATTCATATCATATAGATATTTAAGGAACAACCTGGCACACTAAGTTATGCACTGGGCCACGGGAGAGAGGCAATCTACCTGTATGCAATTTACTGCTTCTAAAAACTCACTGGAGGGTCAAATACGGGTTGGTTCCAACTTGTTGGTATTTATCATCATCATCATCATCAACCAAAAGGTTGATGGTTCAAGCCCCTCAGCTGCTCCTCGGGAGAAAAATGAAGCCGTCACTATGATGAGAGCCTTAAAAATCTGATGGAGTCTTTCTTAACAGCAGTTAAGTTTGGGTTAACCACACATATTTAAGGAGCTTGTTGATACTATTACCAAATAGGCTGCTCAAAGTCAGCAGTGCAAATCTTCTAGCTGCTTCACTGGGGAGGTGGGGGAGGGGGAGGCCTTTTTCCTCTTGTGAAGAATTATAGCCTTGGAAACACAATGGAGGATCATTCTAGCGGTCAGGGTATATACCTATTTATATGTTAGGAACTATAGCCATTGAGTTTCAAACATACAGAAGTAAGTAAAACTTGAAATTCCATCTCAAATTGTTTATTCTATAAACAGTCTACCACCAACCTACTGTTTAGAGTTGGTGGGTTCAATCCAAACCATTCCTTCCCTTCTGTACTTAAAAATTCATTTAAAAAAATCTCCCATAATTTCTATCCTTTTACAAAGGATAAAATTTCGATCCTTTTATCCTGTTACTTCTGTTTACAACTAACTAGTCCCTCAAACAGTTCATTCACACTGATGAAGTTATTTTAGGAAGCTCCTTCCTAATAAATTAAAATCATCAGTCTTTAGCCAGAAAATACTTACTTAACTGTCTTTGGACCTGGATATGCAAACAAATGGAAGGCTACAATATACTCTTAAAAGTATGCAGTACAAGTGTGTTATAGCCACATTTTACATTTTTATACTAACTGAACTACATCATCTGGTTCAAGTGACACTGTACTAAAATATGCAGCTTATGCTGCAGAAATATTTTCTAGAAATCATAACTAACTGAAAGCTCAAAAGAAATGGACATACAATATATGGTATGTTTGGTAAAAAGAATTCAGCAAATCCAGTAATTCAGTTCTTAGTCCAAAGCTACTTATACTAAATTCTTACATTGAATAAAAGTTAATTTCTGTCATTTCCATAATGCTTTTAGTTAACACCAGCATACATATTAAAAGGAACTTAGGCGCTGAGTATTATACAGTGATCTTTAAAAACACTCACCTTCAAATGACTACATTCTACGTTACAGAGAGAACACAAATGTGGAAATATTCTCGGAGATGCTGCATAATAATCATTCATCATAGAAGGAGTTGGCAGTCTCTTCATCTTCTGGGCACCAGCATGTGAAAACTTTGGAAGCCATGATGCTTTCACAATCCCAAAGGGAGACCGAAAGGGTTCATCAGTCTCTGACTGGTAATTCTTTTTACTTCCTCCTGATACTTTAGATGAGTCCATCACAGGTTCATGAGAGATCCGCTCTTGTTGGCTTACAGTTGAAATTAATTCCTTAGAAAAAGGCTGCTGGTTCACAGATGAAGTAACCAGAGACTGGCTCACTGTCTGGCTACTGGTTTGGCTAATAGGCTGGCTCACAGATTTTACAGGTTCAAGGACTGACTGTCCTCCTGACATGTGTAAGCCTGACATCTTGGTTCCACTCTCAATCGAGAAGAAAGACTGATTATCAGAGGATTCATTGGGGAAGTCCATCTGTCTGAACACATCTTCAACAGGAAACATAGAATCACATATTACATTTGAAGCAGGAGTAGATCCAGAGATGCTCTGCTGTGATGGAAATTCATTCTTGCCCTCATCTGTTGGAATTTCAGGGTCATAAATACGTACTTCAAGTGGATCTTCAGTGTAGCCGTATTTGCTTGCATGCCCATAATCAATCACATTTCTTGAAACTGCTTCAGTACCAAGTATTTCTTTATTTCTGCTCTGAGAGGGTAAGTTAGGTAATCGGCGTCCCATTTTTCGCATCCGTATATCCCTCAATATTAATGGCATATTTTCAGGAGTCAGCTGCTCATCAGGATAGCGACTGAGCTCTTCTAAATCTTCATTAGATAATCCAAAACTTGCTAAGATACTTGAGGCACTCTCTTTCGTATAGCGACTCTGCACTTTAGGACTCGGCTCTGCAGCCACAGCACTCGGCTTCATTCCGACTGAAGCAGACAGGTGGGACTCCTCCCACCGGCCACCAAGAGGCTTCTCCTTCTTTTGCTCAGCTTCATGAAAATCCAATTTTTCTTTGGTCAATCTTGGATCAGTTCGGTGCTGAGTTACCTGGACATTCATTCTCTGTGGTCCCATGTTCTGGTAAGGTTCATGGCCAGCAAATCTTTGTGGAATTCCTTGGGCTCTTCCTGCCGAATAAAATCTTGGAAGACCCATAGATCCAGGTCTCATAAATGGTCCTGGAGGCCTCATCCCAGATGGGTTAGGTGCTCGGGGCCTTGGAAGTGGAAAGTTTCCTCGAGGATTAAACCTGGGTCTCGACATGGCTATTTTCAAGAAAGCCTGATTTAATAAAGTGTAAGGTGGTGTTGAACCATGTGAGGCAATGGCATTCAGCTGCTGCAGCGCCAACTGAGTCTTAATCTGAGCAAAGTGCAAAGGAGATGGGCCCAACAGAAGTGGGTTTGCAATGCCCAGGTTCAAGGAATTCACAAGTGGTGCGAAATTTTCCAAGAATAACACAAAGCTGAAAGTTAAAACACAAATATTAGATCATTTTAACTCAAACTACTTCATGAAGTGGGTTCTCTAAGGCAGTGTCTTAACATTTTGAAATAAAGCCATGAATACTATTCTGAGTTTCATATATTTCAGAGTTAAGGGCTTATGAAGATTTAAAATGTCCCAATATTTTCTTCTTTTCTTTCCTCAATCCAGAACACAAACCTCAATCAAGAATTCATGTATGTGTATTGCAGTGGATGCTGTCCTAGGTGCTGAAAGGTTATTACAATTTCTTTTGCTTAATCTTGACAAAATTGGGATGAAGACTCTGACATGAATATTCAGTATGTCACCAGGTCTGCAAACAATGAAAATAGAACTATACACCTAAAATCTCCTAAGATTTATTATTTCTCCACGATGCTTTCTTCCTTAAAATCAGCTTTTACATCTAACAAATTTCACATGACACGCAAAAGCTTAAATTTCTGTGATTAAACAGTTTCTCTTAAGATTAAAAAACATGTCAATAACTCAAAACCAAAAAACCCCAAAACAAAAAACCCCAACAAAACTTAAAACCATAACACAGAACTATTAACATACAAGACAGTAGGTCACAAAACCAATCATTCTATTCTTGGACTCTCCACAATGGCAGAGTAGGCAACCATGTAAGGACAGTAGCAACAGCTTACTATTCTGAACACTTTCCATGGGTTATAACACCCTGAAATAGAGATCCATTTACAGAGATAGAAAGACACACTAAATTACATAACTTTGCTAAGATTACATGGTTGGTATGTGGTAGGGTAAATGTATGCAACCAGGAAGTAATCTGACACAAAGCCCTGATTTTATGTGTAAGCAAGAACATACAGCATTTCCCAAACACTGTAAGAGTTAAAACTGGATCTTGCCAAAATATCAGATTGTAACAGTACTGCTCCAAACGACATTCTTCCTAGAGGAACATGACTTTATCATGCAGGAACAAGGTCAGCAGTCACATTAATTGCCTTCATGTTGTGGGTTTTAAGGGAATGGAGAAAGAGAACAGATTACACCTATGCTTCCTATCAAGGTGGTCTGTGGCACTGCGGTTCCTGTGTCTAGCTGCCAACTGAAAAAGCAAGCAGTGTGAACCGACCAATGGCCCAGTGACTAGAATTCTAACTACCAGTTTATAGGAAAACAAGGAATGGAAGATCATCGGGAGCATGGTAAACCGTATCAGAGGGATGAAAGAGAACATTTAGGTTTATTATCAAAGAGAGAGAGAACCAAAACCCTTTTTCAACAACAACAAAAAAAGGGGGGGGGGAGGGGACAGAAGGGACTATAAGAGAGGAAAACCAACCAAGGATTTTAAAACTAGGGATTCATACACTCTAGGATTATCAACTCCATGAAAATACAGATGACCTGCTCTATCTGCAGACCATTTATAAATTTAACCAACCACTGACAAAGAATGGAGGTAGAAATGGAAGCAATTAAATGGTCAAAGAAAAGACGAAGCATAAAGTGCTCAATTTTTTTAATAGGTATTTGTAAGTAATCAGAGATGATTTAAAGTATAGAGTAAGGTGTGTGTAGATTATATGCAAATAAAAAGTGCTTGAACAAAGATTTCAGAAATTTCAATAATGGTTATTTGATAATATTAACGTAAGTGTGATAAATGATGCTGTTTTCAGAGGCATTTTACCTTTTAGAAGCCATACTGAAATATTTATGATAGAATGATATGCCTCTAATATGCATAAAAACAAACAAGAGTGATTGATGAAGAGCTGGTTAACTACAGACATTACCAGATAGTAGGTTCATAGACTGTCAGGACTGTTTATGAATGCTCTGAATTCACCATATAAAATGTTAGAATTAAAAAGAAACATACACATCTTTAAGAAATAAAGAGGACTTACAATTAAACAACATTCCAAGTTAACTTTGAAATTAACAAAAAGCCAATGCAATATTCCAACATTCTGTTATAGTCTGGCAGAGAGAAGTGTCACTGTTTAAAAATGAAACACGAAATAACAGAGAAAAAACGGTATCATAGGCCATGATTACAAATGTTTTAATCTTAAAATCTATATAGATATAGGAAACTTACAGCTAGACCAAGAAGCTGTTGTTCTCCTAACAGTGCAAGAGAACACTGCAAGTTTAAAACCAAAGAAGTGCACGCATCAAGGTTATATCCTTTCTCTACACCTATTCAGTCTGCACGCAGAGCAAATCATTCCAGAAGCTAGACTCAGGATTTGTGGAAGATGCCACAACAACCTGTATTATTGGTGAAAATGTAAAAAGCTCACCCTCCTGTCATCCCTGACTCCTTCTTGGGATGTGAGCTAGCAGCGTACTATTTGACCTGCTAATTTTGGGGATTTGGGATTCCTTGATTCAGAGTTACAAGAACCCCGTAAGGCAGACCCACAGATTTGGGACTTTGTGTGTCTCTCTGGCTGTGAGTCTTCTATGTCTCTATAAATGAAACTCTAATTGCTGTCATGTCAGAATTGACTCAAGCAGGTGAGCTTTGCCAAAACATCCACAAATATTTTTCTGTGTATATGAATGCATTATTGATGCAACTAGGTCAAAGATGTAAAATAATACTGAATAAAAGTCGGTCTTTTAAATTTATTTTTAAACTAGTACTCTAAAATTGAAAAACATTTCTTTAATAATTCAAATATTTAAAAAGTATGAATGTTGAATTATTACAGTTTAGGAGTTTGAAAAGAGAAAACTACAAGAAGGTATTCAAAATAGAGCAAAGGCAAAGATTGGAGTCTGAATCACAACTGTACCACACAGCAGCCCAGCCAATTTCCTCACCTACACAATGAAGAAAGCACCATCTTCCTCCAGTTTTGAAAGATTACTAACATCAGAGAAGTTCCTGGGTTGTGCCTGACATCTCTTAGCAGTGGAATACAGTGTCTACAGAATTTTTAACAAAATTCATAAACACGTAATTTTTAGACACCAAATAAGGGTTTAAGATTAAGAATGGAGGCTTCCTAAAAGCACCGTTGACCACAAATATGATCATACAGACCTGGGTTTGAATTCTATCATTATTTACCCCAAGGCTCCATGTATCCATAGAATACCAATTAACATACTGCAACAAAAGAGGGATGTATTTATCAGGTTGTGACAAGAAACCTGGAGGACAAACACCTGGTCAACTGACTGGAAGAAATCCGTATTTATTCCCACTCAAATAAAAGTGACCTGACAGAGTGTGGAAATTATAGAATATCACCTGCAAGCAAAATCCTGCTGAACATTATCTAAAAACAACAGGTAAATCAACAGACAACTAACAGAAATACAAACTAGGTTTAGAAAAGGGCATGGCACTAGAGACATCATAGCCAATGTTAGATGGACCTTGGCTGAAAGCAGAGAGTATCAGAGGAATGTCTGTTTCATTGGCTATGCAAAGGCTTTAGACTGTGTGGAAAATAATAAATTGTGGCTAGCATTAAGAATAGGAATCCCACAACACTTGACTGTGCTTTTGCAAAACCTGTACTTGGGCCAGGAAGCAGTCGTCATCAGAACAGAGGAAGGAAACACTGCACGGTTCAAAATAAGGTGTGTCAGAGATGATTCTGGTTTCCATACCGTTTTTAATACCTTTTCAATCTATATGCAAAACATCATTCAGGAAGGCTGGACTTTATGAAGAATGTGACATCTCGATTGGAGGAAGACTCCTCCATAACCTGCGATATGCGCATGTCACAAGTTTGCTTGAAGAAAACTGAAGAGGACTTGAGGCATTTGCTGCAGAAGGTCAAGGACTGCAGCCTTCTGAAGCTTATCAAGAAAACAAAAGATTCTCACCACTGGGCCAAGTGGCAAACCATGACAGATAGGTAAGAGATTTAGATGTCTGCAGCAGCAATCGGGAAATCAAAAGATGAATTGCACTGGGAAAATCTGCTTGCTTTGGACCTCCCCAGAGTGCTAAAGAGCAACAATGTCAGTCTAGAGACTAAGGCGCACCTACAACTGATCCAGACCATGGAATTCTCACTTACTAAACATCAGATAGAATGGCAATTACCAAGCATGACAAAAAGAATTTATGTCTCTGAGTTGTGGTGCTGAAGAAGAGGACTGAACATACCATGAACTGCCAAAACAACAAACAGGTCTGTCTTGGAGAGGGTAAAACCAAGTTGCTCTTCAGAGTCAAAAGATTTTGAGGCTAGTGCAACAATGAATGAATGGAAACCCAAAATCTCTGTAAATGTTTATGAAAATATAATTATAGAAAAAAAAAAGATTTTGAGGCTGTCTCATTCACTTTGGGGTATGTTGTCGGGAGGGACTAGTCTGTGGGAAAGGATTTCATGCTTGAAGGGTGGAGGGACAACAAAGGAGAGGAAGACCCTTGCCTGACATGGACTGACCCAGTAACTGGGGTAATGAGGGTAGATGTGTAGGCAACATTGAGACTGGCTCAGAACTGGATGTGGTTCAGAGGTACTGTGCATAAGGTCACTATGAGTTGCAGTCAACTCAATGGCACATAACAGTAGACTGAGCACTGGTGGGTTAGTAAGGCATGTAGTTCAAATTCAACAGCTGCACCTTGAGAAAATAAACAATCTCCTCCCCTAAGATTTACTGTCTGAACACCCACTGGAGAGTAAGCTCCAGGTAGGTTCCAACTCAGTGGTTCATAACATAATTAGAGAAGATTTATAAGTAATCGCGTAATGAAGATGACACAATCTTGCCTGGACAAAGTGAAGACTTAAAGCACTTACTGCAGAAGATCAAACACTATAGCTTTCAAAATGGGTTACAGTGCAACAACAAGAAAACAAGAGAATAAAGATTGAATTGTTAATGATTTCATTTTACCTGGATGACAATCAACACACATGGTAGCACCAGTCAAGAAATCAAAAATGTGTTGTACTAGAAAAGGATCTCTCCAAAATGCTCAAGTGGAAGGATATAATTTTAAG